CACACACACACACACACACGCACACACACACACACATACACACACACACGTACACACACACACGCACACACACACACTGACAAACACACACACACACACACACACACACACACACACACACACACTGACAAACACACACACACACGCGAACACATTTCGCCGAAACACATTCACATACAGTAGAGAATTTAGATGAAGCAGATTATGCGGACTGCCACCTGCTCCACCTAGATATGGTTGGGATCCTAACCACTCGTGCCACAAGAGAAGTTCGAATAGCAATATCTGTTAAGTGGAATTAACTTTGATAAAGCAAAAAAAAAAAAAAAAAAAAAAAACGGCATAGGTATGGCTTAGAACAACAGGAAAAACGATGGAAACAGCTTTTAATGATAAGGATGTACGTGGTGAAAATAACCTTATATTATATTAATGGCGATTGTAAGAAACGGTTACCTTGCCGCTGAGAAAAAAATAACAGATAATAATATGAGGAATTATGTTAATGATGGTAAATGATAATAGAAATGATCACGATAATATGGATGAGACGGTGATGACATTAACGACTGTGTTATCATCATTATCACAATGATGAAAACAATAATGGATAATAATAATAATACTATCATGATAATAATAATAGCTAAGATGATGATGGTAATAATGATGATGAAAATAGTAATGATAATAATTATTATCATCATGATAAGATGACAATGAGAAAATAATACTAATAATAACAGTAATATATAAAATAATTATCATAATGATAATGATGATTATGATCGTCATCATGATAACTATCAGTAGTTAATAACTGAACCAACTTTGGCCTTTTGAACTACAGCTTACTCACGTCTGTTCTTATGATCAACAGCTGACCCACCTTGTTCATATTTCCATTGACCTTTTCCATAAACAACCGCATTAAGAACCGGATTTTTTTTTTTTCTAAATCACAAGAATAAACTTCTGATATCAAAGGTCATCCCTTAATACTTTGCACAAAACTTACAAGGAGGTCCTACCCCTTGCGATGGGATATAGCGCCAATGTCGTCTGTAGGCGGTGTGGGTCTTTGGCTTGACATGCACGACCGTGGGATATGCAGGCGGCTGAATGGAAGTTGTGGGGACTAAGAAAGCTGCAATACTACCTTCAAAACAAAAGGGTCGTCTGAAACTACAAAACAGCATCAAAAGTCCAGTCAGTTGTCAATCCAAACAACAACAGACGATCGAATCTTACTAGACCAAAGTCCAAAGCACCATTAAGGCAACGAGCTTGTCGAAAGGGTCGTTCCTACAGTACGATGACCCCATCGAGGACATCTGCCGATACATTGGAAACTACCAGTGTGAAGAAAGACTAGCTGTAAATTGTATGTGTTTTATGTATGTCTATATTCATTCATTTAAACTGTTTCTCTACATTATTTGCTTATTTTATTACCAGAGCTCCGACTCTGAAGTGCTTTGTGAACTATATCGGAGCCAATTTGGCCTTTTGAACAGCAGCTTATCTCAAGGGGACTGCGTTAGCTTTAGTTCGTACGGCTCATAATAATGGTGGTAGCGATAATTATGCCATTAATAGTAATGTTAAGGATAATGATAATTATTACAATAGCAACACATGATTATGATGATAAGAATAATGATGATCAATATACTAACAGCAATGATAATAATATAAACTGAATTAATATTAACAACACTACTACTGTACTACTGTTATTATTATTATTTCTGCGAATACTATAATAATTTTCTATAACTTTTTAAAGGTAATAACATTTGGTAATAACAACGATAAGATACTATGCATTTATACCAATGAATGTCAACGCACACGAAACCATGCACACAAAATCGATATACTTAATACACAATTGCTCATGTCTTTACACATAACACACAGGCATTATACGTGGGCCGAATGATGGGACCATGGTCAAGGCATCCTCGAAAACCGCTGGCAATACTAGTTGTGGTTTGGCTCCTCTTGACGATCCGACTCAACGTCTACATTCCTTCGGTCAAGGTGAGTCGCGTCTCTGCGCAGAACGGCTCTCTTTTGTGTCAGGTCTGTCCGAGGCAGTAGTGTTTACGTGTCAGTGTTATCGTTAGGGCTTGTGTTTGTTTGGTATTGTGTGTTTGTTTGTGGCAGGTGTGGTCGTTGCAATGGATATGTTTTATTCATAAAACGAAACGGGAGTTTGTGTTTTTGATGTTCATTCTGGATGGGCAACTGTTGGATTCTGTTTACTTGCTTTGTTGTGGTTTTGTGTTAGTTTGTGGTTTAGATGATGTGATGTCTGATGACTATGATATGACTATCATAAAGACACAATATTAATTCACAATTTGAGACACAAAATCTAAGAAAATGCTAGCCATGAGCCCTAAAGATTTTCTTGAATAAAAAATAATGTAAATTAATTGCTATTTATTGGGTGAATCTAATGCCTTAGACACGATGAATCTATAGGATATAG